GTCCGTTGAAAGACTCAAACATCTTCCGAATTGAACGCCGCTCCTTATTTATCTACTCAATTAAGGACACCGCAGTGCTTGTGAGGCTGACGATATTCAATTTGAGAGGCGATGAGAAAATTGTATTATTTATAGGCTCATTAATTTACCGCACGGCTCTTGGGAGGTCTTTTACTCATTTCGGTTTATTTCTCCAAAATGATCACCGCATGCCGTCGACATCACTCGGGAGATTGAGTTTTTTAGTTTAGTGTTTTTAACCTAACTTTATTTATTTATTTAATCTTTATTGCACAGAAAATTGTACAAAGGCGAGCTTAATACTATATTGCATTCTCTACCAGCTAACCCTAGGTAGAACAGAAACAAAATGTCAAGGGCAGTAAAGTAGTTATATACGATACATAATTAAATAAATAATATGTAATAATTAGGTATTAAATCTAAAAACTGCCAACGTAAACATATATATAAATGTATATACTTACATCCAAACATATATATATATAAATATACATACATACATATACACACATAAATACATTTCAGATATAAAGATTTTCTTTCGATTGTGGTTTTCATAAACTAATCATTGTAAAATTTTATTATTTTGTTAATATTGTATTATTAATGAGACAATTAAATTAGGGCACATTTTCATCTGTGAGAGCGAAGATAAAGAGAAGCAGAAAATAATCGAAAGCAATAAGAATGTTACGAACGTTTACTAAATGTTGCCTTGCTGGCGATTGAAAGGCGACGCTGGACGCAATGTGAGTTTTTGTTTAAAGGCGTGTTTATTTAAGAAGGAAAACATTTTTCAAAAAATAGTTTCAGAAAATAGTTTACGCATTTATCAGTATTATGTAAATATGTTGAATACTCGTTTTTGCTTTGAACATATTGTAATTTAAAAAAATGTCAATTTTATTTTTTGCTATAAATATCTTACTTATTACCTCATTATACCTCAGGGTATGGGTGCCGGTGGAATTTTATCTATTATTTTTTCTATTAAAATATAAAATTTCTTTTCGAAAAGCACGTGGACAAACTTGTCCTTGAAATGTAAAAGGAAATCGCTCGTAATGAAACTTCAATAGGTCCTGCATTTGTTGGCCGCTAGTAGGAGTCAGAGAGGAAAATTTTAAAATTTGTCTTTTAAAATTTTCCTCGGCAGCATAACCAACACGTGCTTAATCACGTTCGGCAAGATCATTTAAATGTTTCATTAAAAGTTTAGTTATTTTTTTTATATTTAAATGACATATTTTTTTCTAATATCAGCCAGAATTCATAACAAATTGTGCCTGTAACATTTAAAATACAATTTCAGTAAATTATTTTAGCAAATACCTATCACAATATTTTATCGTATTGCTAAGACTTTTCTGATAAGTATATAGTTAAGGTTATTGGCCAATTAAAGTATATATAAAATATTTGCTTAGCATTTGAAAGATTTCATTTGATGGCCGTCAATAAACATGGTCATTCTACGGTATATTAAGAAAATTGCTGTACGTACCGTTATTAACGTGTCGCTATTACACTAATGAACCCTTTTCCCAGTTACAAGTTACGTTTGAAACTTTGCCGACATGTTTAAGGACACCAAGCAAATCAAAATAAATTCTGCTTCCGCCAATATTTTAAGATAAACTTTATGCTTAATCCTATTACAAAAAATAAATATATTTTTTTAAATTTGTATAGTGCTAATCTCTGCACTTAAGATGAAACATCAACATTTTATCTACGTAATACATTATTTTTTATAAAAAAATAATAGCTTTCTAAATATTGCCCTGAAACTCTTTCACTTGAGAAGGAAAACATTGATGCAAGAAAACTGTGGTTGTTATTTATTTAGCAAAGATTTACGATTTTAACATCTTTACGTTACCAACTTTTTTATATTATATTTTAACTTTAATTTAGAAATGCAACAGAAATGCAATATTGTACATTTGCAAAGATTCAGAAAACTAATAAATAGTGCACTCAGGTATTTGTTCATTTGTCTTTTACACAAGCATGAACAACTTAAGTCTGCAAATTTTCCACAATCCGTCAACTGTGAAAGCATATTCATATTATGCTAGAAGCAAAACCATGTCTTAATTTTAATTTCTCAAGTATTATATTCCCAACCGAAAATGACATTAGGAATCGAACTTGGTAATTACTTAGCCTCTTAGTTATCACTATCTTCGGACGATTCAAAGCAAAGAAAATACACCTTTCATAATTTGCATTGATTACCCCAGGGCCTTTAAGAAGACGAAGGTAAAATGGAAACATTCATTCTCTTGTGACTAGTCAAGTGAATAAGGTAATCAGGACCCACTTTAACTTCGCCAATCTCACCAACTGCCACCTCAAGATTGCTGTGGAATACTATCATCGTGGGCAATTCCTTACCATCCGGTGAACAACTAACGCAATTTGGCCACCGTTATTAATACAAGGAATGTATTCACCCTGATCAAGAGCCGTGATAGCTCAGTGTCCGGGCGCTCGCCTTTACTTCAATATACTCGAGCAACCTGAGTTCGATCCCATAACTTTAAGTGCTGACTTATCACGTGCTCCGCGGTGAAGAAAAACATCGTTAGGAAACCTGCATACTTTCGAATTAATAACAAAAAGAAAAAATTTCGAAGATATGTGAAGTCCGCCAATCCGCAGTGGGGCCGCGTGGTGGACTATGCCCTGATACCCTCTGTACAGAGGAGGCCTTTGCCCAGCAGTGGGACATGTATAGGCTGTTACTTTTATTCACCCTGCCGAACATTATTATATAGCATATTATAATGCTGGCCCCAAGTCCCGACAACCAATAGACCAAGATTACCAAGATTATATGTACTCGAATATCTAAAGCAAGATTTTGAATTTAATTGATCTATTTTTATAATCCTCTAGTTATTGGCATATAAAAATCAAAGCGGCTAACCTACCCTCATAGATTCGAGTTTATTACTTGCCTTGATTTATATGAACTGTCATAACTGAACAATTTCTAATAATTAAGGGATTATGGGCCATAAAGAGTGTAGTTTTAATTTTTAATTCTTACATTTAGTAAGCTCTGGAACGGTTTATGGTGATCCGAACTCAGTAGATTGTCGATTTTTAATTATTATCTTTTTTTCTGGCATATTAAGTTCTATTAACTCTGGTAAGGCAGAATGGGCAGGCTATTGTGGGGAAATAGGTGTTACAGAATACCGGCTTGTAGTGAAAGTATGCTTTTTTTTAAACGTTGCCCTTACTGTAAAATAACATGATCCCACGTTGTAAGAGTGTCTTACAAACATAAATTTGACGTGGACAAACACCCAGATCCGAAACAATTATCTATGTATCACACAAGTAATTGTCCCGTCTGGGAATCGAACCCACGACCCCCGGCGTCGAAGACATAACTTGAGAACTGCGTCACGGAGTCGTTTAGAGGGTGAGGTAAGAGGGGGCCAATTCACATTTACACAGGGTTTTTTTTACTTCATTTACTCTTTAATTTTAAAACTATGGCTTATGTTCTTTTGTGTGAATACCAGGCTAATTATAAATAATTGCACTGTGACCCAATTATAGTAAAAAAAACTATAGTAAAATTTTATTCATAAAATACTAAATAAATCTGTAAAAAATATATACCACGTCGGAAAGGGAAATTTAACGATTGCGAAGATATATACTTACATTTATTTATTACTTTCTCAACAAGGCTTGGTAAACAATACAATGTGACATAGCGTCAAGTAACAAAATCATATCGCACTACTAAATAAGTTTTATTCTCACGTACTTATAATACAACATATCTACCTTAGCCGACTAGGTCGGTATATAAACGTGTTACGTTTACTACCTTTAACTTCAGCCAGCAATTACTGCTAATGGGTCCATCGATCGTAAATCGTTGAATGAGTAATCGAGTCTTGGCTGCAGCTGTTTTGACTTGTCTCTAATGATTTAGAAGCGGAACGTAACGTGGTGCAAGCTCTTCACTTGCACATGGTTTTTTTTTCCTTTATTGAATGATGTTCTTCGTTATAGTTGGTAAATTATATAACATTGCATCTAACACCGAGCTTGTGCCTGCGCATAAGTATAATAAAACAGATAATTAAAAATAACAGATAAAAACTAAATAGAGCATTTGTTCTTTTTAATTTTTAGCTCGATCGCAACCATGGGATAAACGGATAATAATGAATCGGTTATGAAAAAGTATGTAAGATCTGACATAATAGTCTTCAAGCCTAAATAAAATTGTGTTCTTGCACTATTTTCGTTTTGTTTTGCACTATTTCAAAATCAATTTACTGTCAGCATTTTGAACATTCATACTCACATATGTGAAGTCAACCTTCAAGTGCTACGTTCTGCACTACACCTTAGCCTTTCTAAAGAAAAACGGAAGCATTTATCCAGCAGTAAGATATAATATGTTATTTTTGTATTATTTATTTTTACATTTATAATGTAAAAATAATTATAATTATGGTTGTAAAAAATTTAATGAGGTTATATCTTTTAATTAATCAACAACTGTCAAATGTTACATAGAAACAATCACTGTCAAATTAATTCTTTGATCTAGTTATAGATACTGTACCCGGTTGTAAGCAAGAGAATAGACTAATCATAACATTGCTAATTAGGAGGGATCATTTATTGAATGTAAATGTATTAAAATAGATTTTGTATACTAATGCTTTTATTCGTATTTTATACAAATAATATAATCTACGATTTAAGAAGCATATTCACTTTTCCATATCGTACTTACATTATTCTTTTTTAAAGTGGAACTCATTAGACGGCGATCTGATAATTGAACCAGAACAAAGGGTGAGATTTCAAGGACGCATCACGTTTAGACACATGAGAGAACATATTTCGTTACATGTGGGATAAGAAAAATGTCTCGCTTTCTAGAAGTTGCCTTTGCATGCGCAGTTTTCTCTTTCTATCCTCAGTCTTTACGAGAGTAATCCGTCAACGGCGAAAGCAGGAAGGTGCGGAACGAAACTTCTGAAGTCGTCGACGGTGCAGCAGAAGCTGTAGCCGAGGTCGACGCGATCGGGCCTCCAGCCGAGCCAGTCGAAGGCATTGTTGTTACGGCACCGGTCATTACAGAACTGCAAGGCCTGTGCCTCCGTCAAGGTGTAGTGGGGATTGTTGATGCCGACGAACGCGGTGCCGAGGCGGCGTGTTGCGTCGTACACAACCTGGGGTCGGGAAAATTGTTTCTGTTCGATATTGTATCTAAGAGAGGTACGTTATAGTACTGCAGCAGAGATGGTTTTTTATGTGAATAGTTGCCAAGCCAAAAGTCGATTTGACTGATGTTAAGTGAATACCGCTGCCCATGGAAATTTACAACAACCGCCGGATTGCAGATGAGTTGAAAATCTTAAAAAAGTTACACCGGTTATCTCTATCACCAGACGAAACGTGAAAGTTAAGCTTCCACTTCATGCTGGCCATCTGTGACTGCGCCTGCCAATTCGTGCAACAGCACCTACCACAAAGCTTCTTCATTGCCATTGTATGATTGGGCTACATTGGGATAAACTTTCGATCGAAGAAATCTGTAAAATTCACCAGCACCATCTGTGAACTTACGGTGTCTTTGAGTCCTGTCTTTGATTGGGCCTGATAAGTTTCCATCAAGTGAATCATCTTCAGTTTTCGGATTTCTGATCAGTACACTTCTGCATACAACAGTACGAGTATATTTAGCAGAATTGTTAATTATCAGGAGTGTGTATTGATGCGGTGTTACATACCTTGTAATAGTACATCGGCACAGGCACCTGTGGATTGTTGTTACTATCTCTATGGAGGTAGATGTCAACAAAACTGTTATTCGCATTCCGCAATTGAGTTACTCCATATGTCCCAGTGTATATAATGGTGTTGTAGCCAGCTTGTCCGATTCGAGCGCGGAGATTCTGAAATATTTTGCACTGCTACTAAACGATGTGTTTACTTCTACTACTAACTGTGTTTATGATCTATAACACATTTTATACAAACATTTATTGTTATATATATTTATGTAATAACCATAACATTACAATAAACAATTTTTTTTTAAGAAGAAGAAGAAGAAGACGAAGAAACCTTTATTCACGGTCTAAGCACAATAGATACATACAACACTTAAAAATAATAATGCAACTACACAATATGTAAAATAATATTAGAAAAGCTCAAAATAAATGTAAACAACAAAAAACAAACAAAATGATAATAAGTGAAGGTCTGTGTAGCAGCATAAGACCGTGAAACGGACGGGACTCGGTAAAAGTCGAGATAAATACTCAGATTTTCTGATCCCGAAATCGATTTTTTTTTCGAGGCAACTCACACAAAAGTTATGCTATATTGTACATAAATTCACCTGTTCAAGCCAATTCCAGTTTCCGCTATTGAAAAGCTGCCATTGGGGAGCGGAATTTATGAAATAGAAGGTGGCACGTTGTCCAGTCGCATAAATGAAATCAGTTTTGGCGGCCAGGTGACCACGTGCCAAGAATTGCGTGTTGGTGACGTACTTTTCGGCTAGATCATTGCCAACGTACGCAGCAATAGTCAATTTCTGTTGAACTTGGGTATAACGATTGTTAATGTCCACACCCGGGAAGAAGCCGCCAGCTAAAATTGTAGATTAACGAAAGGCTAGTAATAAAGTAAAATAAATAATCTATGTAGTACAACAGAACAGTTTAAGTATATACCTGACCAGCTCGGTCTACTGACATCCGTTTGGTGTACAGCGTTTGGTGGGTTCTGCTCATACCACACATATAATACTTCCAATCGATCCTGGTCAAAGCACGACCAGTATAGTGGATAAAAAACATTGTTGACAGTAAAACCAACGCTGCAACATTAAAAAAGTCTATACATCAGTAGCCATGTATTTCGTTAATTATATGAGATAATATAAACACATTAATTTCATAATCCTTAACGACCCTAATGAGATGTCAACAAAAAGGGTCTCATGTAAATATGGATAATTATTACATTACTAGCTGACACAGCAAACGTTGTTTTGCCATAAAATTATGTATTGAATAAGAGTTTTCGGAATGCACCCATAAAATGTTTGACAGGTAGGAATAGTTTGTAAGGGAAAATAAAATTGTTGCTTTTTCAATTTTCTACGCAATTTTTCCATAATTTCTCATCGTTTAAACCTTTCCTGGACTGCCACAAATATTTCAAAACCAAAATTACCCAAATCGGTCCAGCCTTTCTCGAGTTTTAGCGAGGCTAACGAACAGCAATCCATTTTTATATATAAGATGATGATGATCGATGTCATCACTCGGTACGAGTTACGAGTTATCATTACTGTATTCAAAATTTAAATGGTAGCCCTTCACTGCGGACGTGATCACGAATGAGAAACTTTTTTCCTGTCAGTAATTAAAAAATTGGTTGTAGTAGAAATATCTGTGCTAAAGGCACGCAGCAGCTTCGGCTGTTGCACTAATAGACAGGCTCGTCCAGAGAAGTAAGTAACTCGTAGACGTAAGTACGTAACGTAAGTAACTCATAGAAAACCGGCCTGAATCATAATTATTTTGCGTTTCGTGTGGTGAGTGAGGTAACCTGGGCCCGCTTTGTAATGTTGGCATCGCACCTGCAACTGGTCAGTTGTTGGGCGGGGGTAATCACTTAACTTTAACAACTTTTAACAATAAAAAAACCAAGACTAACAGTATAGGTTATTTCTTTATTTGACACATGAATCTAGGCTGTGCGGATCTGAATTACTTTGGAATATACGAAAGCTTTCTAGGCTTTTAACCTTTTCGTCTCTAACGGGACATATAAAGATTAGAAACATACATCAAACAGATATTGAGTCTACAGTCAGCTGTACAGTAAGTCCCTAGATCAGATACGAGTATGAGTGAGGGATTCAAATGTAGTTACCGTATAACCAGATTGTTATTATAGCATCTATCTGACGTGGACACGGCTTCGTGACTTGAATGCGAAGAACAGGTTAGATCAGCGAAAGCGCCATTCCCGTTCAACCAATTGCCCGTGAAGAGGGTGTTGGTTACGCATGTAGCAATCTGCCAAGCAATATGCGAGTCTTAGAACAACCGAAGTTACTTAAGTAATGTCCATACTTAAACTAATAAAATGAAGAAACCGTGAATTTCGAAATAAAAAAGAAATTTAAATATTTTACAAACGAACTTGAGCCAGTCTATATCTTCTGAACAATTAATTGCTGTTAATGAAATCACGGTGAAACTTACTCCGGTACTAGCTGTAGTGGCAATGTTAGGGTGCAGAATTGTGCGCCCAGTGCCAGTGCATGCAATAGTTACTTCTTCCCCCGTGCTGAGGTGTATTTGGCCTGTGTTGCCAGTTGGATTCAGATAGTTGTTTTTGTGTATGTAAACCGGCTGTGGCTGGCCGAGATCACCATTAACTCTTAACGTGCAACCTAAATGGTAAAGACAGTTATTTGAAAAACCAAAAAATTAATATCAGAAAAGAGCGGTGTTAAAATCAAACCTTACCGCTTCTTGGTTGTGTTTGGGAAACATTACTATAGCTGCGCTTAAGCCACAGGTCCAGATAGTCTTCAAAGTCATCTTCATTGAGCACAATAGCCAATTCACCCGGCTCAGGTATATCACCAGTCATAGTCGCCACTATCATAAACAAAATTATGTTAAAAACTATGACCCGCATATTGAACGACTATTTCTATGATGAAAACGGAATCGCTTCCGCCGAATTGCGTTTGTATTCGAACAGTTTGTAAAATAGTATTCATATGGGCACATGTTATCTAAATCTAAAAATTACTTATCGGTATAAGATTACATTGATAAGATCAATGATCGCGAAACGGTTTACTTTGAACATGATAGAATTAATCTAGGGATTGTTGTATTGGTCATTCCGGTTAGTCATATTTCCTAGAAATTTTCAACGAATTCTTGCGTTTCTGGCTATCAAAACAGAATCACAGGAATTTCTGATGGACGTAACTGACGGCAAGCACCGCATATCGTCGAAAAAAAAATTGTAACGGAGGTATTTGATCCATAATATAACCTATATAAAATATAACCTATATAATATATTGTAAAAAAAAGCTGTAATTTGCTTGTGACCCAAATTTAGATTTGAAGTTCCTACCCCTAAAAATCCTGTATAGAAATTTAATTTTTGAATACGAAAATAAATAATAATGATAAGCACAATCTTTAAATTGTAACTTCTTACGAAATTGTTATAGACCAAGAAAATTTGTAAAATTTAGAAAATTACAAGGGCGCATTCCTAAGGCAATGAGTACAGCATCAAATAAAAATAAATTAAACTGTGTACGTTCGACAAAAAATATGACGCTATTAACGTAATCTCAAAATCTTTAATGAAAGAGGGCATTATGTGAGAGCTGTTGTCTGAGAAATACGAGGTCAAATAACATGTATGGTAACGTCGTATAAACAATTCGTCGGAAAAGGTTTTTTTTAAGGGGAGAAGGTGGTATAAGACTGGGTGGTTAATGGAAAGTGACCCATGGGAATGCAGTTTACGGAGCAAATCTCAAAAGCGAGTAGATTAGGGTTACCTCACTTACCAGAAGTAACACAAAACTATATTGATAGTTTTAGACTTTATTCGTCTTCTGTGAAAAACTTCGGCTTTACAGATGCATCGGCGTCCCCACAATATGTAAACAATTTCGACGTATATTCTGGAAGTGGTTCATAATATGAATTTTAGAGGACTGCAGAAAGTAAATATTATTTAAGGATGCACAAACAAGAAAAGGTGAAAATAAATTAGAAAACGGGATTTGTTTAATAAAGGTGCCATTATAAACCTTTCCCAAGAAGGCATTTTAAGGTCAAAGCTTTCAAACTAATCTTTTCGATTTATAACTCTCAATAAAATTACGGTCTCAATTTCCATTAATACATAAAATTACCAGTTTCTTGACGCTAATAAAGGTTCAGTTCATTTAAAGTTTTCCGATCAATTAGTTTAAATATATTAATTTACATGAGGTGCCTACAGAGTTACCCAATTAGTAACGGGGTGAAAACCATTAATAGAAGTACAAAAAGTGTTGTAGTGAAAAATAAGCGTTACATTCAAATATATAAATTCTCAATAAATATACGTATTTGAAAAGGATTGATGACTGCCCTGTATTAGGACTGGTTATTGAAACGTGGAGTAAATGGCCTCAATACATTTTCGGTCATATTAATTATTATATGTGTACATACTTAAGAAATTTATAGTTCCGGACTTTGAATACAATTTTAATGTAAATGGATTTATTATATTGGATGGATTTATTTATTATAAATGAATCTTATTTTATTAATGTACATATTTCCTGTAATTGGAACAATCATCTTCACCCTTTTAACAGAAAATATAGATCTTTTTTGAGAGATACATATTTTCTAGAGATAATTACAAAATCAAAATAAAAACACGATAAAATCAGCAAACTAGTTTCATTTGATATATATAACATTCGGGTAAAATCAAGAACTCAAGATACATATTATAATCTTTTAAATAAAGTGATGTAATATTGCGTTGGTGGATTTCGATCACGCATGAGTGCAATCTGGTCCACCTTAGGTTTTGAGAATTCCATAATGAGGGAGTGTGATCATCATATATAAAACATAATACTCATGTGATAAAATTTATAACGATAGTGATGACCAACGACAGATACGTAATTTATAACGATAGTGATACCGTGAATACCACCCGTGATTAATGATCTTTTAAAATCAGTCCCCGTCTTACTTTTAATTACTCTTGACAGGCATTGACAGATGTGCTGTGACAGACGAATGTGATTACTCGATAGGCCATTATGTGGGTCGATGATTGCTTAGCACCACCGTTACATACTAGTTAGAAAATAGCTGGAAGTTAAAATATAAATAATCGACTATTTTTACCATGCTAAAGTTACAAGGAAAGAAGAGTTTTAAGCGAACGTTTATGAATTATTTATAAAATCCCTATCGTCTTATAGCCTATAAGATTTTTTGACAATGTGTTCCCATTATAGGATAGATATTCAATAAGTTTTTTTTAAGCTGTTAAAAAATAGGGTGCAAATTGTTTGCCAGCCGGTAGTTTCGCAAGTGATTTGGGAAACATTGTTGTTGTTTCCCAAATCGTGGCAATACGTACGCACATCCGGAACAAGTATATCCCTTTTTTAAAAGCTGCCTCATCACTAAATTTAGTAAATTGAATTAGTGCTTGTTTAGTTGTTGATCCACGGGCGTACGAGCTTGATTCAAAGGCCAAAGTCAAAGTCAGTGTCAAAATGTATTTATTTAATATAGGTTTATGCTTTATACTTACTTTGTTTTAAGCTCTTTATATTAAATGTCGAAAAGGTACCACCGGTTAGCTAATTTAGACCTGTTAGTGTTGTCACCACGGCCCCGACGCTATGTGGTATGATTTTTTGTAAAAAGGTGGATATTATTTCATACATACATGATGTTCTCGACTTTGTACAGCGAAGGGAGCGTTAAAACGTTTATTTGCTTAAAAAGATGCCGTAGTGACTCACGTGGATCCAAGCCAAAGACAGCCCGTATCGTTTATAATTTTGTAGTACAAATATTGTCTCTAAACCGGATGCGGAACCCAAAATTGAAATTGTTAATGTTTTCTGAATTATATCGAAATGTATAAATAAAAAACAAAAGCAGCAAAAAAGAAACATAACATAAGGATTTGAAAGATCACAAATCCTCGCAAAAGAACAGCGTAACAACGCAATACTTTAAGACGTACTAGTTTGCTGTGTCGATGGCTAATATTAACAATTTTAAAGCTAACGGTAGGCAAGTTGGATAATAACAGTGATATCTGGTTATTTCAATCCTTTTCGTGACCATGCATGCTGTAAGTAATCAAAACTTTTTTAGTTGTACTGGATATGAAATAACCGTAAAATCTGTAAACTAGTTCTATTATCATGATCTGGACAGTATCGTCATCAAAGATTTATAAACGTCGAAATTACCTATTTGAAATCTTTTGAACAGTCTTCTGAATATGATATATGAAGCTGTATCTTAGTCAGTTTACAATTAATTTCTGTATGTACTTCAGAAGCATCTTTTTTGAAATTCATACAAATTACGGTGGCGCAAAAGAATGTTATTATATCCTGTATAGCTACCTAAACTAGAATGAGTAATCGTATTTTGTTTCATTTGCAAGGTCACCAAACACGTGTCAAATATGCACCAAATGTGTGCATAATGGTACCGGAATGGAGAAAAATTTCCGGCACCTCTTTGTGGCGGTCTCAGGTAGTACGCCTTTGTTCAGCAGTAGACGGCTTCTGACTGATGATAATACATACAAACATACAGTTTTATATCATACAGACTTTAATAAATCCAATTTGTTTACAGCTACGTTCATTTTTTTTTTTAAATAAAGAAGTTTTTTATATAAAATACTGTTGCGAAACATAATCATGAAAAATTATAAAACACTGCCCAACATAAATAGCAACATAGATAGCCGATAAAATATTTTAGTTGAAGTAATCTCGCACGTCCGTTTAAAGAACTCTTTTCAACGACTCTCGAGATATCACTCCCGTAATTACTTTGGCAGGCGATGACGTGTTATGACCAAATACTGGATTCACAATTACATAGAATACTTAAAGTGGCAGGTGAAATGTGATGGATTAAGCAGATGTGAAAGTTATTAAGTGTTACGGTTAAATTGGGTAATGATTTGTGACGCATACGATCTACCTAGTAATATGTTAATTTCATCAATATCAGTGTGGAATATTGAGGCGGGGTAGAATAGTGCCTTCTTTAGAAATACTTTTACGAACGTGTTCGAACATTAATTCGGGCAAATCAGCACATTGGCGAGCGTATATTGCGATTAAAGAAAAAATAACGGCAGAATCAAATCAGTAATGAATTAAACAACAAGCAGAATTTTCCGGTAAATATTTTTTTTTAAACTTGTTACTTTCACTAAGAAAGTCCGCCATTTTATTAATTCGACTTCAAAACTGAATACACAGTCCTGCCAACATAACGTCACACTAGGTACCGATTGTTGGATTAATTTTTTTTTAATTTAATGAATTACAGAACCGACACAGAGCAATCCGAACCTGGACAGATTAGGTTAGAAGGTTAGGTCCGCTCCCGCCTTAGCCTTCGTGGTTATTTTTTTATGACCACCCAGAAATAGGAGATTCGTAATCATATTGAGAAGGATTGAATGAAATGTAGAAAGGAAGTTTCCATTTAAACTATGTCTATTTCAAATCATTATGAATATTTTTTTTACGTTTTATAACATGAAACTTAAATTATATCCAACATTTACAACATTAAATCTAACTAAATTACATGTTATCTAATAAACCTACCTAGTCTACGCGGCATGGTGCCAAGAACGCTAACTGCATATCCTCGCTGACTTATCTAATTCTAAAACTGGAGGATGTTTCTATTTTTGTACATCGACTTTGAATGATAACATAATTCGAAACTCTTTTTTTGTCAGATAGTTTATACTACCTAGGCGGTCCTACAGTTGTTAGTAGTAATCAACAACAATGCAAGAATTTTTGTTCTTGAAAAAGAAAA